GAACTCGGTTGATTTTCATTATATAGTCCCTCCATATATTTGTTGTTTGCCTCTGCCTTTCTATGTGACACTTGGCACATTCCACCGCGCAATCCCCTCTCAACCATTTTATACACCTCTTCGTCATATATCAAATCTAATGAGATGCCGGTTTTTAAAAGCATAGCGTCCCAACTAAAATTAGGTAGTGTGTAGTAGTGGGCAGGGTCTAACTCATAGTCTTTAAGGCACTGTGTTCTGAAATTTTCAAAGACATCCGTTAGTAATAAAACATCAGTTTTTAAATAAAGGTCGTGATACTCACCGAGGTTCTTTATGTTAAAGTGTTTCCATATGTGTCGTGCCCTTTCGTAGTCTTCGTCGGTAATGTCCTGTTCCGATAGGTTGCTATAAAAATGTTCTTTACTCGGCAGTTCGGTTTCGTTAAAATGCTGGAAGTCATCCATATAATCATAGGGATATATGCCTTTGTCTGTCAGTAGGTCTAAGTCATATTCATCTTTCACATAATTATTTAACTTGCTGTTTGCGAAGTGTTCGTGCCAGTTTTCTCTTTTATTGTCCCCTTCCTGCTTGGTTAATTTAACGAGTTTGTCTAATGAAGAAGATGAAAAACTAAAACTGTCCTTAAAAACCATCTGTTTCAGTTCAAAGGATATGAACTTCTCGCTGTTCTGTGCTATGACATTCACCTCATCCTTTTCGGTGTTTAACTTGTCAAAGTGAGACACTTTTAGGTGAGCGTCGTAGTTTTTAAGGTTGTGGAAGAAGATGGGTATTTTAAAGTGCTTGAAGCAGTAGTCTAAATTGCACTTGTTGTGCGCGCATCCTCTGTATAATCCTGTAAAGTGGCAATGGTCGCGAACCTTCTTTTTATGTTTAGTCTTGTTAAAACTGCCACCGCATATAAAACATTTTTTACATTTTTGGAACTCCTCTTCCTGTTCTTTTGTAATTATCATCGGTTTTGGCGAGTTCATTTTCTCAAATATTTCTGCCCTTATGCTGTTCATATCATCACAAAATCTATCCATACAATCCTGTCCTCTATTTAAGTATTGTTTGCTTTCGTTGGTTATGCTATTCACGACATTTAGCATATACCCCGATGGTTTATGCTCTTGATAAGTCCCTTTTATTCCCTCATCCGTTTTGGTAGTTAAACACTCAAAATCACCATAAATGACATAAGGACACCTTAATTTCTTGTAGTGGTTCTTGAAATACATTTTTTCTTCTTCTTTTGGCATTTCGATTGCTTGAACCTCGTTTGCCATACATCCTTTCAAGACGTGAGCATTCAGCAATTTTTCTTGTTGAAACCCTTTTTGGCAGTGAATGCAATGAAAGAGTTTATTACAGTGCTTGTTGGTTTGACTGCCCATTAATCGTGAATATTCTTTTATTAATACATAATGACTTTTATTGTTCTGTTCTAACCTTAAAAGATTTACGTGACAGAAGGGTTTAGCAATCTTTGTAATCCTATCGGGTCTTATTTTATCATTGTTATCAAGGACATAAACATTTACCGAAATGGTGTTTTCATTAATCCTTTCAAAGGTGTCTATGTCATCGTTTGACGCTGGAAATCCGACACCGTCCCATTTGATGAATGTATCGTTATTTGCTGATTTAGTGTAGTGATACATTCGTTGCGGGTGGTCTTTCTTATATATCTCGTGGAAACGACAGTAAACACAATACTTAAAACAATAATCGTCGTCATTTTTAATATTTATGCACGCTTTTTTGCTTGCTATGACCTTTGGTAGTTCTAAGTAATGACCTGCTCTTGTAGGGTCATACTTGTCAAAGTGGATTATTATTTTTCGTATCTTCTTTATCTTATATCCCGATTTATCAAACTGTTTGTTTTCAATTATAAGTTCTATGTCCGATGCCATATTATCTATTGCCTTTTTGAGGTCTTCTTCGTTAAAGATATTGTAGCGTCTGCTCCTGATTGTATGGGTTGTTTCATCTCCGCTCTCAACGTGCTCAAAATCAACATCTGCATCAATCAGTATCTTCATTGACTTCAAGCGGTTAAGGTTTTCTTTTAACTTGGTCTCTTGGTATTTAAGATACGATAAACCCCTGTATCCTTGTAGGTTAATGTTTGTGATGCTATAACTGTTGGCATAACTTTTTAATGCTGATACTTCATCGGTTATGTTTGCCTTTTGTTTAATAGCATATTTCTTTAAGGCTTTCCTCACTAATACACCCTTGGAGGCATTGTGAAGAACCTTAAACCTTTTATACTCGGGCGTTTTTGCTACTTGATTGAGTTTTGTTTTGAGTTTTGTGCGAAGTGGTTTTTCGCTGTTATATCCATATTCTACTCCATCTATGATAATCTTTTTGTAGGAGCGGTTTCCCACACGTTTATGCTTTGCATCTCCACCTGAAAACAGATATCCTAAAACTTTATCATACTCCCCAGACTCCATTACTATATAAGGTGTTTTTTCTTTAAGTGATTTTGCCTGCGGGTTTCGCGTCGGGGGACTCGGGCACTGCGTTGGTATTTAATGTTCAAAAGTCTTTGTTAAAAACAGATATTCATTTTAATATTTATTAATATTAAAATGAACTTTTAATGAGGATACATATTATAAATGTCTGATGTTTCATCCATTATTTCTTCAATCTGTTTATGTAGTTTATCCATTTCTTTTTCTAATTCAAATATGTGTTCTCTAATTCTAAATTTGTTTGTTCCTTTTGCTTTGCGCCTGTCATTTTTTAATGTTTCTATTTCATCTGCTATTTTATCTCCTTCCAAAAATAAAGCACATTTTTTACAACCAGCAAACTTAGCAATGTTTAAACAAATATAGTCGGGAAACATTTTGATTGTATCCTCCAAGGTTTTAGCATTAAACCTACATATATAGCAGTTTTCAACCTCTTCTGGTAATTCATATTCTGACCTCTCAACCTCTGACCCCATAATCTCTTAATATATAAGGCGTTTTGTCTTTAAGTGATTTTTTGGGGCAGGGTTTCGCGTCGGGGGACTCGGGCACTGCGTTGGCATTTAATGTATCGTTAAAGGTGTTTTGAGCCAAAATGTCTTTCTTCTCTCCTCTCATCTGACTTTAAGGTTTAGAGGTGATTAGGGTTTAGGGGTTTAGGGTGAGCAATCCAGCGCTTTGGAACTTCTGCACCTGCCCTGATAGGAAGTGCCGACATCGTTAGGGTTTTAAGGTTTAGGGTTTAGGGTTTAGGGTTTAGGGTGAGCAATCCAGCGCTTTGGAACTTCTGCACCTGCCCTGATAGGAAGTGCCGACATCCGAAGGTTTTAGGGTTTTTGTATAGTTTTTTTTGGGGATTTTTTGGGTATAGTTATTTTGGGATGATTTTTATTCATATTTTTTGTGATGATTTTTTACTTATGGGTTCTAGGGTTTAGGATGTAGGGTTTAAGGTTTAGGGTTTATTTGTATAGGGTTTTTATAGGTCTAAACCACTAAACCCTAAGAGTAAAACCCTAAACCCTCAAACTAAACCCTAAGAGTAAAACCCTAAAAGGGGCGAACCTTCCTGAAGTTGTTGATGTCGGACTCGTTCTCGGTCGTGAGCACCTGGCGTGAAGGAAGTGAGGTCTTGAAAGGGTTTAAGTTTTAGTATTTAGAACTGCTCGGTGCTTTGCATTTTTTTCTTGCTCATCCTTGAACTGAGTGTGTCAGCGCCTAAGGCGCAGAAGAAACCCCGATGCTGTATATAACAGCAAACCCCAGTGTCTGTAGCACTGTACTGCCACGGACTGTACATTGACGAACTGACACAGAGAGTTTCACTGAGAACCCTCAGGAGTTCAAAAAAACTCACATGGCACCGCCATTGACCCCAATGCTGTATATAACAGCGAACCCCAGTGTGTGTAGCACTGTACTGCCACGGTCTGTACATTTGTGAACTGACACAGAGAGGAGTTTCACAGACAACTGTGAAATCATTTCACAAACTATTGTGAAACCCCCTACCCGTTTCACAAACTATTGTGAAACCCCCTACCCGTTTCACAAACTATTGTGAAACCCCCTACCCGTTTCACAAACTATTGTGAAACCCCCTACCCGTTTCACAATCTATTGTGAAACCCTCAGTCGCTCCAAAAAATCACATCATACAGCAACCGCTCTCCTGCGATGCCTCAGAGGACTCAGAAGGTTCAGAAGTGCTCTGCTCCGTCGCCTTCTTAATGCCTCTCCTGTAGCACTGGATGTCTCGTATTGTAGAAACCATCTTGCTTACATCATAGGAGTAGTTGTTCCCGTTCTGGATGCTGACCTCTTTTATCAATATCTTTGCCCAAGTCGTGATGAGTTCTGCTTTGAGACTCGCCAAGTAGTCCGACCATGACGACAACGTCTCAATCTCCTCAATGATAATGATGGCACTCTCGTAAATCCTGTCCTCGGTAGTCGCTCGCCTGTTTGAAGCGTCAAACGCCTCCTTCAACGAACTGAGTTGGCAATCTGAAAGGGTTGATAAATGTTGTTCATCAACCGGGGGTTGTTGGCAATCTCGTTGTTCAACTTCTGCATCTTCTCTTTGATTGGGGAAACCACTGATGTCAAAGGAGGTGGGCAAGACAAGACCTCTGAAGGCAACGATGGATACCTCTTCCTCATCGCAACCATTGATTGGTTGAGAAGCGCAGTCAAAGGGTCACTACGACCTTTGAGATGATGTTTGAGAACACCACGAGGTCGCCCCATCACTTCTACACGGTCAAGTCACTACCAAAGGATGCTGTAAAAAAGCTTTGAGAAATAAACAAGGTTGCTCAACAAAGGTACTGCAATGTAACTCTCAATGCTTGGGATATTGCAAGAAACAGAACCTCAATCTCGCTAAACTTTTTTTCACTCGGGCAGGTGAGTTTCAAGGTTCAGGAATGCTACGGGTCTCAACGCAAACTTACTCCTATCCACAACGGATTTTTCAGGATGGTTTCAAGACCGCCTCAGGATTTAAGGAAGTCTTCACTGCTCTCCCTCATCATCATCATCGTTGTTGTCCTGTGGGTCACTCACAATGATGTTGGCATTCTCGTGGATGTGAAAGGTTGCCAAGGTCTTGCGGGGACGGGTACTCATAGTCGTGGCACCGAACTGCAAGTGCAACTTTCGGGTCTTCTTCTTCGTCAAGTTGAACGCCTGACCGATGGCATCGCGAAGCATCCCAACAGTGTAACCCAAGGGAACGCTGAGGTTGATGGTGTGGTCACCGTACGTGATTCTGAGACTCACAACGGTCTCGCGCAAGTCTTTCTTGTCCTTCTTGTCCTGCATCTTCTTTGCTTTTGCCCTCTCAGCGGTGAGCATCTTGGAATCGGCAAGGGCACGCTCTTTGATGGTCTTATCAACCACCTTCATCTTCTCCTTGTAGAACTCACACTTCTGGGTAATCTGACCAAGCACAGTCTTCAAGTCGTCAGTGGAACTCCCTGCCACTGTGCTGAAGAAGTCCTGCGTTGCCAACATCTGGGTCAGCATATCCATCTCTGGGTCGCTCTCGCTCTCGCTGGTGGTCTCCTCCTCAACGTAGTTGAGGAACTCTTCGGGGGACTTCTTGGACATTGCAACGCACAAAAGGAGGTGAAGAGCAAGGATAATTGAAGGCAAAATGCTTCGGAGTAGCATTTCAACGTTTGATGCTCTGCACTGCAACAAAAGCGCTCGGCAACTTACATTTCAAGCAGTGTTCAAGGCAACTTTTCTCAAACGCTGAACGATGCTTAGAAATGATACCGATTACGATGGTAGAACATCATTTCCTGCTCTGCATCAGTGCCCGTTCTTGGGCAGTCCTCGCTGTTGACAAGATCATCCGCCCACGCATCCCATTCTTGAACTTCCCATTCCATGTCATAGTCTTCTATGGTGCTTCCTTCATCGGCGCTCTCGCAAAGGTTATTGTAGAACCATTCTTCCACGCCCTTCACGAGTATGACCTTCAAGTCATTGGGTGAGGTGAAAAAGTCTCTTGAGAAGACAATGTTCATCACCATGCTTTGCTTTGCAAGAACGGCCAGCGAACCAACTTCGGGTGCCAACCATTCATATGCTCGGTCGTATTCTTCATTCTCTGGGGCAGCCATTTGAGAGGAAACCGCTATAACAGGAAACGAAGTTCGCGCAAGTTGCTCTTTATGCATCCGGACATGACTGCGTCAAACTAAGAAACCACAAGCGAGACAGGGAGACCTGTCCAATGATGGCGAACTTCTCGCCGATTGATTGTTTCGTCCTAACCTAAACCCTATAGGGGATTCTGAGAAACTGGCACATTATTTATCTATGAAATGAATTCTTATATGAAATGAATGAAAGATGAACTATAATTTATTTGTTTGCCCACCCTAAGGTTTTATGAATGAATAAAAAAGGACTTAAAGATAAAGCGCCTTAGTATAGTAGGGAGATTATGAGTGATAGGATTAAGGAATATGAAGAGAGGATTACCAAGTATGAAGCAGAACTGAAAGACATTAATGAAGACATTGAGTATTACAACAACAAGATACAAAGATATAATAAACAATTAACCGTTTTAGAAGAGGAAGGCAATGCAGAAAAAATAATGAGCAAGGTGAATGTTATTTCAATGATTTATTTTGATGTTGCTAAGAAACTAACTCAGAAAAGCACACGAATTAAATGTATTCAAGACTGCAAGAATGCAATTAAAAGTTTAACAATTAACTAAAAAGACAATTAATCAACCATTAACATAATATTAACTTTCTGGGGATTTTGTGATGAATCTTGTTAATAACGGATAAGGTGGATACTCCTTAGAAAGTTAATATTTTGTTAATTTTTTGTGATTTTGGTGGTGGTAAATTGGATACTCTTTGAAAAAGTGTGAAAAATCTGGGGTAGAACACTTCAAGAAATTGTGAATGAATGAGGCGGTGAAATGACAGAAATGAATGAGGCATTTTGTCCCCAGAACCATCCTGAATAAAATGAATGAGGTGATGATATGAATGAAACGAATAAGGGGCGAATGTGGTAAATGTCCCCAGAGATTTTAGAAATTTATAACGAACGAGGCGATGAAGTGATGATGTAGATGTTATGCTGTTGTAAAATGATGTATCAGCATAGGTGGGCAATGTATAATGTGCCAGTCCTCAGAATCACCCTTTTATTAGTTTTTTGGGGGAGGGGGGTTTGTTGGGTTTAGGGGGGGGGGGGTGGACCTTGAATATCCGCGGGCCTCTTTAGTGCGCGCCACTGCGGCCTGCGGGAACATAAGCCAACCCCCCTCCCCCCCCCCCCCGTAACAGGTTCGAGAAATAGGCAATTAGCAGGTAGCTCTTAAACTGATATCGCAAGATGTATTTGTAGCATGTCAGGCTCGGGGAGGTTCGGGGTTCACGTACATGGCGCATGCAAAGTTGGAAAGGCTGCAAAGGCGAATGATTCTGGTGAGCTCGTTTCCGTTTGTTTCATTTTGTCTTTTGTTCCCGCTCCCTCCCTTCACCACCCCTCTGGAACCCATACAGTGAACGTGAAAGAAGATGTGATGTACACATCTTTCGCAGGTTCACTGAGAGCCGAATGCAGTTAGCACCACTCCATTATACCCCTATCCTGACAGAGAATTCGGACATGCAAGCCGCGGTTTCAAATGCCCAGTTCTATCGGCGCAAAGGACGCGAACCCGCCGCCGACATACGGCGCCGAAGATGCTATGTCCCTGGTTGTGCGCGTGCATGCGTGGGTGCATGTGCTTGTGCATGTGCTTGTGCATGTGCTTGTGCATGTGCTTGTGCATGTGCTTGTGCATGTGCTTGTGCATGTGCTTGTGCATGTGCTTGTGCATGTGCTTGTGCATGTGCTTGTACATGTGCGTATGGCTGTCTGTGTGTGTGTGTGTGTGTGTGTGTTTGTTTGTGGTTGTTTGTGTTTGTGTGTGTGTGTGTGTGTGTTTGTGTGTGTGTGTGTGTTTGTGTGTGTGTTTGTGTTTGTGTTTGTGTTTGTGTTTGTGTGTGTGTGTGTGTTTGTGTGTGTTTTTGGTTGTTGGTTGGTTGGTTGGTCGGTTGGTTGGATTGGGCTGGTCGATAGCCGGAAGTTGGTGACTAGGTCTGACTAGGGATACGATTCGTTAACCGCCGATCATCCCATTTATCCGGCACGACAGGCAGCTCAGCTGACCCTGTGCCCGTAACCACCCGTACAACTGGATTGTGGGAGATTGGTGGGGCCGGGCCTCGCGGTTGACCGTGTTGGAGTGCCTTCCAGAGACCTGGGGACGGTTAGTGTGCACCTCTTTCTTGGCAGTGCCCTTTGGGGAAGGAGCCCATAGCAAGCCTTTTGGTGAGCCCTTTTGGATGACTTCCATGGCCCGTCCAGATCGAGAGCGCCCGAACGGGCCGGACACATGACCCAGAACCAGCGAGGTTGTGCGAGACTTCATGGTGAGTGTCCTTCGACGTATCCTGGTCCTGGTCCTATGCGGTACTGCAATGCCGCAGTCACCATGGGCCCGGTGGTTTTCTGATGTGGTGTGGTCTATTGTGGTGGTGGGCGTTTGTCAAACGCGCGCACACGCGTGCACCATGACTACTATGCATATATCTGCCCATGCGTGAAACCTATCTAGCGACGATACAAAACTGCTTATGTAGACGCATAAAACCACAGATATGACAGCAAAGTATTTACGATCCTCTTCCTTTGTCGAACGTGCACACATGACTACCACACATCTGTCCATACATGAAACCCATGTAGCAACCATGCAAAACGTTCTAGGCGCATAAAATGAAAAAAACGACGATCCTCTTCCCTTCTCGAACGTGCACGCATGGCGAGCATTTATCTGCGCACATATGAAACCCATCTACTCGTAGCAACGATACAGAGCCATGAAACCACCGATATAACTGCAAAGTATTTGCGATCTTCTTCCCTTCTCGAACGTTCGAACGTGCAGGCATGCCTACCGTAGATCTGTCCATACATGAATGAAGCATATGTAGCAACGACGCAAAACCTTTCAGACGCAAAAAATCATAAATACGACAGCAAATTCGTTTACGATCATCTTTTTCTTGAACGTGCACGCATGTCTATCCTCTTCCTTTCTCGAACGTGCACGCATGGCGAGCATGTTGTATCTGTGCGTACATGAAACCATCTACTCGTAATAAGAATCCTGTCCAAGCCTATCATGCGAGCATTGGGTTTGCAAATGGGGGGGGGTGCGCCCTTCCCAACCCCCCCGCTTCTTAAAGCCATGCCAGCTTGCTTCAAAGCATATGAATCCTTGCCCATCATGCGAGCATGCCCCTCGCTTGAAATTGGGGGGGCTGCGTCCACAATGTAACGAAAGTAGGTTTTTTTTTTCCTAGGGAAAAGCAAGAAAATGGACAAAAATGCACCCGGTCTAAATTGAACTAGGCCGATTCAAATCGGGCCCGACCTCAGGAACCAAGAATCCCTGCAAAACTTTTCTGGGAATATTGGTTCTTGGTTCTTGGTTTCTGGCCCCGGTAGAAATTACGCTGGTTAAAACCATTTAAAACAGGCCCAGGCTCAAAAGCCAAGAATCCCCGCATTCTTTTTATGGAAATGTTGGTTCTTGGTTCTTGGTTCCCAGGCCGCGTTGTAATTACAACAGTCCATTTTAATCAAAACGGTAATTTCCAGATATATGTATCAGAGCTCACTGTACTCATATGTCTGTAGGGTTTACAGTCAGGTAAATTCTAAACATATGTATCGGAGTTCAACGTGTTCGTATTTGTATTCTATCTAGGGCTCCCACCAAATGCAGTTATATCAGTATTCATCTGTGTAGAGCTATAAATACAAAATATGACTTTTTCTTTGCTATGAATCCAAGCATGTGTAACGGAGAGCAGCGTGCTCGTATTTGTCTAGGATTTGACCCTCCCCCACATTTAGTTGGATCAGTATGAATCTGTATATGGCTGTAAATACGAAATTTGCACTTATTGCTTTGTTTTTTTATCAAACAATAAACCAGGACAGCTGCCACTAGCGGGGATGTGCAGTGGTAGACTCAGGTGGGTAATCAAACATTGTTCAGGAATAGGGTTTACGGCTTAGGAAAAGTATCTAATATGGTTAGGGAATTAGTTTAACCTTTGGGGCAGCTCTTCTGAAAAGTCCTTAATTCAGTAGGTTGAGGCTCAATGTTTAGGAAAATTCTGCGGCCCATGGTTTTAAGTACTCTAGTAGTGGTATTTATAGTTAACAAATAATGTTCATGAATATGATTTCGGTTTTAGGAACAGAGGTTTAGGGTTTTGGATTTCCTAGGCCTAGACCCATATAACGTTCGAAAATGATGCTCGAGGAAATTGACTCAATACGATCTTTTCTGTTTAGCGAGGGTTTACAGGAATCGGACTTAAGCGTAAACACCGCAGGCCCCGAAACATGATTATTCCTAAACAATACTCTTTGAAAGTATGGGTCGAATATGGGTCTTAGTGGCGAAGGAAAACGTAAGGTTTTGGACTCGGTTTCAGCCGAAACCTTCGACGCATAGGGTTCACAGGAATAAGGGCTTAGGCCTAAACAATAAGGGTACATCCCGC